GGTTTAGGGTTTAGGGTTTAGGGTTTAGGGTTTAGGGCCTGAGGTTCATGGGTACTTAGAGGACTGAAGGAACTCAGGGGACTTATTAAGCGCAGTTATAATTGGAGTTGGAAGTACCTTGAAACTCCAAATAAGGGGTTCGCGCACTGAGGTTTGTTTCGGACTGGTTAGGGTTTAGGGTTGAGGGCTTAGAGGGTGTATAGGTTTTATAGGGTTTGTAGGGTTTAGAGAGTTTACAGGGTTTATAGGGTTTATAGGGTTTATCGGGTTTAGGGTCCGAGCTTCTGCTTTGGGGGGTCTTGCGAATTAAGAGTTTGGGCGGCTTACGGTTCAACCCTATCCCAACATAAACCCTAAACCCTAAACCCCAGACCCTAGACCCTAGACCCCAAACCCTAAACCCCAAACCCGAAACCCTAAACCCCAAACCCCAAACCCCAAACCCTAAACCCTAAACCGAACATAAACCCAAGCCCTGAACCCTGAAGCGCACAAGCTTGAGGGTTTGTAGATTGGGATGTTCCCCCTTATACTAACAGCCCTTCATAGGGAATTTTATAGGGGTACTTTTAATCCCTATTGAGGACTGCCAGTATAAGGGGAACATCCCACAAGTTATAGAAGCTTAAGGGGTTTGGGCTCTGGATTCTCAAGGCGCCGGGAGGATGAGGGGCTCCTGACTTGCACCCCCTCCACCGCACAAGACAAGTTCAAAAAGCCTGTGCTCTAAGTAGGTTATAAGTAGAATTAGGGTTTAGGGTTTAGGGTTTAGGGTTTAGGGTTTAGGGTTTAGGGTTTAGGGTTTGAAACCAAAACCTGGCACCAAAATCCGAGACCCTAAAAGTCAAGAAGCTCCAGCAACAACTCTGAAAAACTCTTGAAAGCCTGGGCCCTGAAACCGTTAGACCTTCAAACTCTACTTGCATGTTCAGGGTACTTGCAGCCTATTTTTCACTGTACATATAAGCCCCCTAAGTCCCCCAAGTCCTCTAAGTAGGTTGGAAGTAGAATTAAAAACTGGGTTTAGAGGTACCCATATGAACCCCCTAAACCCTAAACCCTAAGTACCCATGACCTCCAAGTAAACCGGCCAAGCCGAGTGGCACCACATGCGTGGCCGCAGTCAGCGTTAGTCCAACCCCACCGACCTGGCGTAAATTCCAAATGCGGGTTTACGAAAATAGGGTTTAGGGTGTTGGGGGGTTTAGGGTTTAGGGTTTAGGGTTTAGGGTTTAGGGTTTAGGGTTTAGGGTTTAGGGTTTAGGGTTTAGGGTTTAGGGCTTAGGGTCAAAGACCCCAAATAGTAGGATTCCCTTATGATAAGGTGCCCCTAACTTCGGAAGCCCCCAAATCACGCGATTCAGGGGCTGGATGCACTTGAAGGCACCCTAAACCCTAAACCCTAAAACCTAAAAGCCCTAAAAGCCCTAGAAGCCCTAAAAGCCCTGGAAGCCGTAAAAGCCCTAAAAGCCCTCAAAGCCCTAAAAGCCCCCAAAAGCCCCAAAAAGACCCAAAAAGCCCTAAACCCGAAACCCTAGACCCTAAACCCTAAACCCTAAACCCTGAACCCGAAACCCTAAACCTAAAGCCCTCAGAGCCACAGAGCCGCCTCAACACTTCGAGGCTCTCGCGAGTCGACAGAAGCTCCAGAAAACGGGTGCGCACTCCAACTTTCCTACTTAGGGTTTAGGGTTTAGGGTTTAGGGTTTAGGGTTTAGGGTTTAGGGTTTAGGGTTTAGGGTTTAGGGTTTAGGGTTTAGGGTTTAGGGTTTAGGGTTTAGGGTGTAGCATTGGTCAGCTGAACGCAATAGTATGAAGACATGCCCACCCCGAGGCCACCCAAACACGACTCATCACGGAACCAAACCGGAGCCAGCCAAAGCCAAGCCAGCCATTCAATTTTCATATCTCGAACATGTTTAGAGGACACTAAGACAGAACACTGCGAATGTTTCAGATTTCACACATCGAACATGTTTAGAGGACACGAAGATAAGACACTAAGATAAAACACTGCGAGTGCTTGGGGCATTTGCGCGCAATGGCCTTGACACAATGCACTCGGCACAACACAGCTGGCGCAATGCACTTGGCACAAGGCGCTTGGCACGATGCCCTGCATAATGCCCTTTTGCGCAATGCACTTGGCACAATGCACGCCTGGAACAATGCACTTGGCACAGAGCATGGACTTGGCACGTACTTGGCACAATGCACTTGGGCGCAATGCACTTGGCACAATGCACTTGGCACAATGCACTTGGCACATGGGACAACGCACTAAAACTTAGCGCAATGCACTTGGCACAGTGCACTTAGCACAACGGACTTGGCGCAATGGACTTGGTGCAACACACTTGGCACAGCAATGCGGCTCTTACCTTGACACAATGCACTGGGCACAACGGACTTGACGCAATGCACTTGGCACTAGAAGCAGTTGGCAGATGCACGGGTACATTAGCACAATGCAGTTGGCCTTGACACAATGCACTTGGCACATTGGCGCAACGCACTTGGCACTGACGCAATGCACCTGGAACAACGCACTTGGCACAGAGCACCTGCGCAATGCACTTGGCACTATGGCACAATGCCTTTTGGCGCAATGCACTTGGACTTGGCACGCACTTGGCACAATGCACCTGACACAGGCACGTGCACACGAGCACAAGGCACTTTGGCACAATGCACTTGGGCGCAATGCACTTGGAAGTGCATTAGCGCAATGCACTTGGCACATGGAACAATGCACTTAGCACAATGCACTTGGCACAGTGCACTTAGCACAACGGACTTGGCGGAATGGACTTGGCGCAACACACTTGGCACAACAATGCGGCTCGCACATGCACTGGCACATTGCCACAACGCACGTGACCTTAACGCAATGCACTTGGCCCAGTGGCACACAAGCGCAATGCGCTTGGCATTGATGGCACAGCGGACGTGACGCAATGCACTTGGCACTATTTTGCAGTTGGCGCACGCACGAGCACAGGAGCACAATGCACTTCAACGCACGTGACCTTAACGCAATGCACTTGGCCCAGTGGCACACAAGCGCAATGCACTTGGCATTGATTGCATAACGGACTTGACGCAATGCTCTTGGCACTTTAATGCAGTTGGCACACACACGAGTACATTAGCACAATGCACTTGGCCGTGACACAATGCACGTGGAACATTGGCACAATGCACTTGACACATGGAACAATGCACTTGGCGTAATGCACCTCAATGCACTTGGCACAGAGGACTTGGCGCAATGGACTTGACGCAAAGCACCCGGCCAGGGCCAGCCAGGGCCAGCCAGGGCCAGGGCCAGGGCCAAGGCCAGGGCCAGACCCAGGGCCAATCCAGGACCAGGGCCAGGGCCAGAACCAGAGCCAGGGCCAGGGCCAGGGCAGGGCCAGGGCCAGAAAGGCCAAGGGCGGCCAGGGCGCGCCAGGGTCAGGGCCAGAGGGCCAGCGCCGGGCCAGACCCAGGGCCAGGGCCAGGGCCAGGGCCAGGACCAGGGCCAGGGCCCTGTTAAAAAGGATCCACCGGCTAGGCTTTAGGGTAATACAATATACTCAGTGACCAAGCTAGGCGACTTTAGCTTGGCGACCCCTCAGGGGTGAGCCTGGCAGGCTCTGCAGCCCAGCAGAGCCTGCCAAGGTCTCGCTGATCGCTCGACAGCGCCCACCTACCTACAGAAGGAGAGGGGTGGTGGGCGGGTTTAGGGTTTAGGGTTTAGGGTTTAGGGTTTAGGGTTTAGGGTTTAGGGTTTAGGGTTTAGGGTTTAGGGTTTAGGGTTTAGGGGTGAACCTGGATGATGCAAGACCCGGCCACACACCGCACCCTCAGCCGCGGCTTCGACCTCGTAGTCTTTGCCCATGACGACGTTAGCTTCATCCTTGTGGGGCGTAAGCGCATCACGCCCTGCCGGCCACGATGGCAGCTTACCATAGGGGTCGGAAGAACTACTGATGGTATCCCCACATCCCACATGGCCTCTGTATAACAATAATAATAACAATAATAATAACAATAATAATAACAATAATAATAACAATAATAATACAATAATAATACAATAATAATAACAATAATAATAACAATAATAATAACAATAATAATCATAACAATAATAACATTATACGATAGTAACCCCCCTACAACCCATTCTACTTCTCAAGGCCCTTAGATTACAGAGATGGAGCAAGCTCTGCTCCGGCTCTCGCGCAGGCGGTCCAGAAGGAAGCGGCGCTGCGCCATGCATCCACCACCGTGAGCGGCCCGTTCTCCATCTTTAGGGTTTAGGGTTTAGGGTTTAGGGTTTGGGGTTTGGGGTTTAGGGTTTAGGGTTTAGGGTTTAGGGTTTCGCCCACATCTCTTTTGGGCCTCCCAAGGCATCGTCCTTAAAGCTCACGGTGTTTCGGAAGGATAAAGCGGTCGTCTATGGCAACCATGCTGAAGACCGTCGAAGCCCCCGCGGCTTCGAATGTCTGATCGCAGCAGCGGGAAGGCCGTGACAAAGAACGTGTTGGGAAAACACAGCTCTGCTCCGTCCACCAAGTTCCGTGATCAGGGACAACGGGGCAATTAGCACCCATGCAAAAAACACCACGCAAAAAGCATTCCGCAAATAGGACATCTGGGATGGCACGTGATTCAATCTTGCCGCAGCCGCAGTCTTCACATCTGGGAAGCCTGAATCGAGAACACATGCACTGATTCGCCGTGTCACTCCTTCTACCACCCCACAATCCGATCTCACCAACTGTGAGCTGCGTCAGCAAGCACTTCAATGCTACATGCATGCTCTCCCTCTAACCCGCCGCATCCCGAAAATTCTAAAGCAAAAACACGATTTAAGTTTTAAGGCTTCGGGCTTAGGGTTTAGGGTTGGGGTTGAAGGGGATTCAGGGTTCAGGGTTCAGGCTTGGATCACTCCAAGGCACAGTATGTCACGCTTTCATTTTTGGAGAACGGAACTTAAGGTACCTACAACCCTACTTAAAACCTACCTGCTCAGTTTCCTGAGCCAATTGAAAGGGCTTCGGGGTTAAGGCTTCCGTCTGGCTTCGGTGATTTCCAGGGGTGCAATCTGCCAGGTCTGCCCCCACGCTGAGCAGCAGAACGCTGCAGCGCGCATCGTTCTGGAAGCTCCTCACAGTGGCCTGCACCCCGGGAATCTCGGATTATCTACATGGTGAGTTCTCAAAATTATGGTCCCTTTTGGGTACCCTAAATATATGTCCTTGTAAACCCAAAAAGGACCCTGATTTAGAGAATCCCCCCATATGAGGTAGGGCTTATATTACTCATACACATACATACATGCATGCATACATACATACCTACATATATATTTATATTTATCTATTTATTAAACTTATCTCTTTAATATTGATATTAACATTAATATTAATATTAATACTAGTATTAATATTAATATTCATATTCATATTAACATTAATATTAATATGAATATGAATATTCATATTAATAATGTTACTAATATTAATATTAATATTGATATTAATATTAATATTAATATACACACCCATATTGATAGGGAAGCGTATACACTCAGCAATAACAGCAGTATAACCCCTAACTCATATTGCAACAGTTTGCTCTAAGAAGCTTGAAGGTTAGGAGCTCTTTACAGGAGACAAGCTTTGTTTCATTAGGCCCAGAGAGGGAAGTAGAGATGACGAGCACACGGTATGTCAGAAGGTGAGAAAGTCAGCTCTCTACGTTCATGCTCCCTCTTGGGGAACCCGAACCACTTGGTGCTTTCCCACCTTTCGTCTTCCTGGGAACTGGGTGCCTACAAGGGCAAGCCCGCCCTCCCCCTAAACCCTAAACCCTAAACCCGAAACCCCCACCAACGTACCCCAAACTCAATCAAGCATCAAGCCACAGCGGCTCTCAAGGACCCCATACCTCCAAAGGACCAAGTCCCTCTCAACACTAGCAACCCTAGCAACCCTAAACCCCAGAAGCCCAGCTGAGCATGTAAGCCCTGCGTCCCCCGGGAGCCAACTCAAACCCAAGATCCTAAACTCCCCTAACAGAACCCTAGAAACCCTAAATGCAGGGTGTAGGGTTTAGGGGGAGTAGGGCTTGTGGTGGGTGTGAGCGTAGCTTGGGTATAGGGTATTTAAGAACTGTAGATTTTCGGGCTTTAGAGAAGCAGATCTTATGTGTATTTCGGTTTAAGGGTTCAGGCTTTAGCGAAGGAGGGCATGCAGGTTTTAGAGTAGCTTGGGCTGGGGCATTCAGAGGCTCTGCGCTTGGGGTATTTAGGGCTTGGGTTTTTGGGCTGTAGGGTATTCCGGGGTGACCAGGGTTAGTTTAGGTTTAGGTTTTGAGTTATAGGGTATTCAGGGTGACCTCGATGCAGTCTTTAGGGTTTCGCATGCAATGCACACTTGCAAGACACCGCCCCCAAATCCCCCCCCCCCCCGGCCTCCCTGTTTTCCATCGACACGTCGCCTTTGAGAATGAGCCTCTGTCATGAGATCGGTGCTTCAGGTTTGCACATAAAAGAGGGTGGGAGGTTCCCACAGCCGTCAGCCCGCGGCCCTATAAGCCATACACACGACAGAACCCTCTAACCTGTTGTGAAACAGCCCTTTACCCGCCTCCCCCGCCAACCCGACCCTAAACCCGAAACCCTCAGCCCAAAACCCCAAACCCTCAGCCCAAACCCCAAACCCCAAAACCCCGAACCCTAAACCCTAAACCTCCGGACCCAAAGACCCGCAGAGAGTTGGTCCCAGGAGGCTCCCTAAACCCTGAACCCTGAACCCTGAACCCTAAACCCTAAACCCTAAACCCTAAACCCTAAACCCTAAACCCTAAACCCTAAACCCTAAACCCTAAACCCTAAACCCTAAACCCTAAACCCTACCCCTAAACCCTAAACCCTAAGACCCACATAGAGTTTGGTCCCAAGAGGCGGCTCACAGTTGAAGCGCTTCCGGATCTGCTGGGCGAGCATGTCCTTGGAGGCCCCGAAGGTTTAGGGTTTAGGGTTTAGGGTTTAGGGTTTAGGGTTTGGGGTTTGGGGTTTAGGGTTTGGGGTTTAGGGTTTAGGGATTAGGGTGGGTTTGGGTTTTGGGGTTTGGGGTTTAGGGTTTCGGGATTAGGGCCAGTTCAAGGTTCATGGTACTTACAAATACGGCCATAGGTACCCGGTACCCTATAGGTGCCCGACTTACAAACCTACTTTTAAGTACCCACATGAACCTCCAAGTACAGGACTTTAGGGTTTGGGGGTTTCTTAAGAGCTCGTAGGAAGGGCTCGTATGGAGTAGAGTTTATATTTCTTGTACCCCCAAAGGGACACCCAAGGTATACACTCAATACTAAAAGGAACCTTATATACACTCACCAAAAACAGGAATAGGGTTTGGGGGTTTCTTAAGAGCTCTTAAGAAGGGCTTATAATATGCGGGTCGAAAGTCCATCTTAGGGTAGTAAGGGGCATTCGGTCTGGTTGCGGACCCGAGGTGGATGACTGTAAGGTACTTGACATGTAGGATTTAGGGTTTAGGGTTGAGGGTTTAGGGCTTAGGGGTTTAGGGTTTAGGGTTTAGGGTTTACGGTTTAGGGTTTAGGGTTTAGGATTTAGGGTTTAGGGTTTGCACAACTCAAGGGCCCACGGCTTGGCAACTATCGCCTAAACCCCAAACCCCCAGATCCGAAAACCGCAACACCTCAGAGCCCTCAAGCCCTCTACACACCCGCATTGCGCCATGCCCAACATGTCCCCAGAACCCTAAGCTTCGTACCCTAATCCCTAAACCCTATATAAACCCTAAACCGTAAACGATACAAACTCTCATGGGCGCCCATCAGACTTCAGGAGTAGACGTGAATTCAAGTCATGGATCCCTCAACACGAAACCCTAAACCCTCAACCCCAAACCCTAAACCCTATGTCTAAACCCTAGACCCTATACTAAACCCTAAACCCTAAACCCTAAGCCCTAAATTACTAAACCCTAAACCCAAAACCCTAAACCCGAAACCCTAAACCCTGAACCCCAAACCCTAAACCCTAAACTCTGCTAAAGCCTGAGGTCAAGTGGCGATGGCCGAAAGGGACGTGGAGAAGATGAGCACCTTCCTGGTTTAGGGTTTAGGGTTTAGGGTTTCGGGTTTAGGGCTTAGTTGCGACCGGGTCGGAATACAACCAAACAGGAACCATGTTTGTGGGCTGGGCCGAACGGGAGAAACCACAACTGGCTATTGCGGTGCCCTTATACTTTTGGACATGCTTTGCGGGAAAAACCATGGTGCATCCTTAAGGTTTCAGGACAAAATCTGGACAATGGTGGTTGTGATTCATCCTTTCTCTTTGCGCCAAAGCACGAACGTAACATATGTATATATTTATACAATAGAATACTCATATTACATCTAAGATGAGAATATATGTTACAGCGAAGTTGTCAATGACTCCTTGTGCATCCCACTTTCAACACTCGCACTCCCGCAACAAAAACCAACAACTCAACAAACCCCCTCCAAACCCATAACCAACAACTCAACACAACCCCTCCCCGTAACCAACAACTCAACAAAATCCCTCCAAACCCTTAACCAACAACTCAACAAAACCCCTCCAAACCCTTAACCAACAACTCAACAAAACCCCTCCCCTTAACCAACAACTCAACACAACCCCTCCATCCCCTTAACCAACAACTCAACAAAACCCCTCCAAACCCTTAACCAACAACTCAACAAAACCAACAAAAACCCTTGGCATCCCACACTAAGACCCTAAAGACCCCCCAGTTGTATTATCACCCATCTGGTTGTATTATCCCCCATCTAAGCCAAAATTTCCAGACTTCAGCTGTATGTTTACCCATCTGGTTGTATTATCACCCATCTAGTTGTATTTCGCCTTATTCTCGGGCTTAGGGTTTAGGTTTAGGGGGTTAGGGCTTCGGGGGTTTAGGCACAGCGCCCCTCCCCCCCCCCCCCCCCACTTCGAGTGCAGGGTTCGGGTTCAGAGTTGGATGTAGGGCTTGGAGCCTTCGAGGTAGTTTTCCACTATTGCTTAAGCACCCCACAAAGCAGAAAAAAAAAAAACATGATGGGCCTAAACCCCAAACCCTAAACCCTACACCCCTTAGCCGCTGAGTTGATTACTTGGCATCATTCTCGAAAGTACCTCAATGTAGCGAGGTACCCTCTAAAACGGGGCGCTAGCTCAGGGTTTAGGGAACCTGCCCTACATACCGAAAGAAGTCTTGGTAGAGGGGGGGGGGGGGGCAGGCAATCCCGAAACCCTAAACCCTAAACCCTAAACCCTAAGCCCTAAACAATAAACCCTAAACCCTAAACCCTAAACCCTAGACCTATCAGGGATCATGCCAGGAAGCTCGTTGTTCGCGAAGACCTGCTCCTCTAGCAGTTCATGAAGCTTCTCGCTCTTGCCACTGGCCTTTCCCAGGCGCAAGGGTCTAGGGTTTAGGGTTTAGGGTTTGGGGTTTGGGGTTTAGGGTTTAGGGTTTAGAGTTTTAGGTTTTAGGGTTTAGAGTTTAGGGTTTAGGGTTTGGGGTTTGGGTTTAGGGTTTAGGGTTTAGGGGTTTAGGGGTTTAGGGGTTTGGGGTTTAGGGGTTTAGGGGTTTAGGGGTTTAGGGCTTAGGGTCTAGGGCGACTTTAAAGCCCTGAACCCTAAACCCTCGGGTTCGCGGCTTTAGGGTTTACGTGCGTGCCTTGCCTTGGCGAGCCTAGTAGCCCTGCTTATTAAAAAAATTCGGAACCCAGATAGATTGGAATATCTAGAAAGAACAGATGAAAACTCTGTACTGTCATATGTTGCTTCTACTGTTAGAGCTTACATCTACGCCACGCTTCATAACAGCCATAAACTCCACATGGCTCAGGTTCTTGGCCTAAGGGGCAGCCTCCAGGGTTAGGGCTTAGGGTCCCGAAACCTGAAAACGCTTGGGGCTGGTGGGGGAAGGGGGGAGGGGGGAAGAGGGGTTCCTCAGCTTAGGATGTTTAGGGTTTAGGGTCTTAGCAATCGCAGGCTTGTAGGAAGCTTCAACACTATGGGGGGGCGGGGGGGGGGGGGGACGGGGGGAGCCAACGTAAAATTCCAACCCGTGGGACCCTACCCCTAAACCCTCAAGCGCTGAAAACCCAATCCCACAAAACCGTACTCTAAAGGACAGTTACAACCTCGTAGAAACCGTCCGGGCTTCACTTGAGCCTCTCATAGGACTCTTATAAGGGCAACCCCTCTATCACTGCCGGAGGTTCATGAGTCGTTATCATAAGCAAGGTCATATGCACCTCCAATAAAGTTGATAACTCGAGCTCTCCTGCTTCCTCTGAACCTCAAACCCTAAACATCCCCCAAACCCTAAAGCCTAAACCCTAAACCCTCAACCCTAACCCCAAACCCTCAACCCTAAACCCTAAAAACCCTAAACCCTAAATATCCCTGAACCCCAAACCCTAAACCCCCTACGAGCCCACCTTGTGGCTGTCGAGGCTTGGGTAGTCCTTGGCCGCGATGTCCTTCGGGCGCCGCTTCTCGTCCAAGCCTCGGCTGTCTGAGGTGATGTTCGAGGATTTGGGAGGGGGGGGGGGTTACCGATATTAGGGGTTTAGGGTTTAGGGTTTAGGGTTTGGGGTTTGGGGTTTGGGTTCCGAAAATAAGGGTATCTTTTTTCCCTCTTTTCCCTTTTTTTTTTGTTTTTTTTTTTTTTTTTGGGGGGGGCGGGGGGGGGTGGGGTCCTTTCAAGGGGATTCTATTCCATTTGGGGTATAACAGGGGTGCCCCTATTGCGGGACGTACCCATTTCGAGGTTTAAGCGTTTAGGGTTTACGGAGTTCGAGGTTTAAGGGTTTGAGGTTTAGGGGCTAAGTGTTTTAAACGCTTAAGGATTTGGAGTTAGGGGTGTAGGGCTTAGGGTTTTAGAGGTTTAAGGGTTTAGGGGTTTAGGGGTTTAGGTTGTATAGGTTTGAGGGTTTGGGTTTCAAGGTTTAAGGGTTTAGGGGTTTAGAGGAAACCCTGAACCCTAAATCCTAAACCCTAATCCTTAAACCCAGGGTTTAGGGGTTTTGGGGTCGAAGGGCTTAAGGGCTTTATGGGTTTAAGTGTCTAAGGGCTGAAGGTTTAAGAGTTTAGGGTTTGGGATTTAGGGTTTAAGGTTTAGGGTTTAGGGTTTAGGGTTTAGGGTTGCCGTCCATTCCGCTTCCGGGAGTGCAAGAGCTGCCCGTCCAATTTCTGGGACTTGTCTTGTCCATCCTGAAGCGTCTGCTTAGCCTGCGCTATCGGCATGCATGCAGTTCGCACTCCTTTGTGACTTCTGACATTAGACAAAACCCTAAACCCTAAACTCTAAACCCTAAACCCTGAGCAGAATGCACAAGTTGCAAGGCCAGCCACACCTTCGGACAGTCGTTGTCGCTTCTTGTGGTCCCGTTGCTTCTTGCCTGGATTTTTCTTCTTCGCTCGTCGCGCGAGCTCCCTGGCCTTTCCTGCGGAGTCCGCAGCCAGGTAAGACATGAGTTTAGGGTTTAGGGTTTCAGGGTTTAGGGTTTAGAACCTCTCCCTTCAGAGTACAAGACCTTTTCTTGCAGGTGACCTACACCGCAGCCTACTAAACTTAACAAGAGTTTGACACTACTAAGGGGCAGCCCTGAAAGAAACTCAACTCTTCTCCCTACAGCTCGAAGACCGCCCCATCACCCTAAACCCTACAAGCCCTGCACGGTCCAACCGGTCTAAGTGGTCCCAGAATTCGAGCCGAAGGTCAGGCAGGATGGTTGCAGATTTCTCTGAGCCCATGCAGCATTCGGCAGATGGCAGCACCTCGCGCAGAAAGCATAGGGTTGATTAGGTTTGGGGCTTGGGGTCTAGAGTTTAGACTTAAGGGCCTCGGGTTTTAAACAACCACACCCCCCCCCTCCCCAGGGTCTAGGGTGTAGGCTTCGGGTTCAGGCTTAGAGATTAGGGTTTTAAGGTTTGGGTTTAGGGTTTCGGGTTTAGGGCAGCAAACGCTTGAAGTGCCTGGGGGGGTGGGGGGTGGAAGGGGGGCTACATTTCCTGGATTGACCTGCAACCAGCGAACACAAGCTTGAAGGTTCTTTACTTGGCTTACAGGAGCTACTTGGAGGTTCTTGAGTACTTACAAGTAGGGTTCTACACACCCTCAGAAAGTTATAACCACAGCTACCCTACTTATAACCCCACTTAGAAGTACACATGAACCTCCATGTACCCCAAGAAAACAATAATTGGGGTCTAACCCTAAACCCCTGACTCCAGACCTAAACCCTATGTGCCAGGCTTTTAGGGTTTAGGGTTTAGGATTCAGGGTTCAGGGCTTTTAGGGTTCAGGGTTCAGGGTTCAGGGTTTAGGCTTTAGGCTTTAGGCTTTAGGCTTTAGGCTTCAGGCTTTAGGCTTTAGGCTTTAGGCTTTAGGCTTTAGGCTTTAGGCTGTAGGCTATAGGCTTTAGGCTGAAGGCTTAAGGCTTAAGGCCTAAGGCTTTAGGCTTTAAGCTTTAGGGCTTTAGGCTCTAGGCTTTAGGCTTTAGGCTGTCGGCTTTAGGCTTTCGGGTTTAGGGTTTAGGGTGGCCTCGCTCGAACTTGTAGTTGCCAGAGCCGGCCAGCTTAGCCTCGGTCAGCAAACCAGCTCTGCACGCGAGGAAGGCTTTTCCGGCTTTAGGGTACCTCTCGAGCGGGATTTAGGGTTCAGGGTTTAGGGTTTAGGGTTTTGGGGATGTTCCCCGTTAAACTAACAGCTCCTGAATAGTGATTCTAGTATGGGGCACGATGATCCCGATTAAGGAGGTCTTGGTATTGGGGGGAACATCTCAAGTCCTAGGGTTTTAGGTTTCTAGGGTTTTTAGTTTTTGTGGGTCTAGGGTTTAGGGTTTTGGGAGGAACCCTCTTTGAGGTATGAAGAAGTACATTTCCATGGCTTAAAGGGGCAGGCCGATGAACTTTACCGCGGGGATGCAGCGGGGAGGCGGAGGGAGGGGATTTGGATCTAGTGGCCGGAAGGTTACACACTTGGAGGTTCATGGTACTTATTAACGCATGATAACCGTACCTATAACCCACTTACAAGCCCCTTAAGTCCCCCAAATATACCCCAAAAATCGATTCCACCCAAAAAGGGCACCCCCTATTTTCGGAAACCCCAGGAACCCACACTCCCCCACCGCCCACCCGCGCCTTCACCCGCTCCCAACGACGTGCAGGGCACCGGTTGGCATGAGTCAACAGTGCGTAGTGTCGGTTTAAAATTAAGGGCGCCAGTTGCACGATCACAGCATTGAGGATTGCTGGTTTAGGGGGGGGGGGGGGTGCTCTGTATATATCATCCTGGTATTATAATGCCTGGAACACCGGTAGCCCCAACGTGTGTCGAAGACGACCTCCTGAACGCTATGGGCGCCTCGCCGCTCGGCAGGCCCCGGCCGAGGTCGGTTCGCATGCGAAAAAATTAAAGACTCTAATCCCAGGCTCTGGGATTCGGCAAACAGACTCTCGGACGGCCTGCCTAAACCCTAAACCCTAAACCTAAATCGGGGAGGTGGAGGGGGGGTGAGGGGGCGGCTCTGTTTCGCGGGCTCCAATATTCAGTGTTTTAGGGCGGGGGGGGAGGGGGGGTTTAGATTTTAGGCGGTTTGCGGTGGTTTGGGGTTTAGGGTTTAGGGTTTAAGGTTTAGGGTTTAGGGTTCAGCATCTCCGATCCAAGCATTCACCCAGGGTGTTTGGCATCACCCCACCCGCCTAGAATCCCTTTCATTTGGCAACCTTATCTACCATTTCAATTCTTACTGCCTTAAGTCCCCTGAACCCTAAATCCTAAATCCTGAAAACTCCAGAGAGGCCCCTGAATCCTAAATCCTAAACGCCCCAGAAAGGCCCTTAAACCCTAATGCCTAAGTCTTAGAAGCTGCAGAGAGGGCCCCCCGAACTCCAAATCCTAAATCTTAAAAGCCCAGAGAGGGCCCTGAACCCTAAATCCTAAGTCCTACAGGCATTACCCCAAAGCACCACCGCAGCCCCAAATAGCTTAAACAACCCCAAAATGCTTCAAAAAGCTCCCCAAAAGGCGGAAGCCTGGTATTTGCCTGCTCCCGCAATGAAAAATGCTGATTTTTAGTACTGAAATCGACGGTTTCGGGGCCCCTCCATTTTACCCCAAAGAACCACCGCAGCCCCAAATAGCTTAAACAACCCCAAAATGCTTCAAAAAGCTCCCCAAAAGGCGGAAGCCTGGTATTTGCTTGCTCCCGCAATGAAAAATGCTGTTTTTTTTAGTACCGGAATCGACGGTTTCGGGACCCCTCCATTTTACCCCAAAGCACCACCACTTAAAAAGCCGGGTGTCCCCGGGGGTGGGGGCGTCCGGGGGGGCCCCGGGACATTTGTTTCGGGAGGGACCCGGGAAGCCCCAGGACACCCCAGGACAACCTGTCCCGGAAGCGCCCCGGGACAACCCGTCCCGAGGGGGCCCCGGGACAGCCCATATTAGATTAGGATTTAGGATTTAGGATTTAGGGTTTAGGGTTTAGGATTTAGGATTTAGGATTTAGGATTTAGGATTTAGGATTTAGGATTTAGGATTTAGGATTTAGGATTTAGGATTTAGGATTTAGGATTTAGGATTTAGGATTTAGGATTTAGGATTCAGGATTTAGGATTTAGTATTAAGGATTTAGGAATCACGAAACCACAAAAAAGCAAGACGACCCCATTAAGGTTTAAATAGATATAGGTAGAGAGGGTTTAGGGTTTAGGGGTTAGGGTTTAGGGTTTGGGGTTTAGGGTTTAGGGTTTAGGGTTTAGAGCCGCAGGGTAGCGCCGCCCAGACACCCGATCCTGCTCGTAGGTCTCCTGGACCGCCTTGTAGAGCTTCCGCTGGAAGGCAGAGAGCTCGACCTCTGGTTGCTTCCTAAATTTCGGATCTTGGGGTTTAGGGTTTAGGGTTTAGGGTTTAGGGTTTAGGGTTTAGGGTTTAGGGTTTAGGGCTAGGATTAGGGTCTGGGGTCTAGGGTTTACGGTTTGGTCTAGGGTTTAGGGTCCAAGGTTCAGGGTTCAGGGTTTAGTGTTTAGGGTTTAGGGTTTAGGGTTTAGGGTTTAGGGTTTAGGGTTTAGGGTTTAGGGTTTAGAGCAAGAGCCGGCAAGATAGGGGCGTTCTGAGCTCTGAAGGTAAGGCAGCTGGCTTCAAGAGAACCACATCAAACCTTCAACACCCCAATCCGTTACACTCAGCACCCTAAACCCTAAACCCCAAAACCGAAACCCTACTCCTGAACAGCCCCAAAGAACACCTGAAAACTACCGCTTCGCTCTAGACGCTGAATCTCCTATCCCCACTGCCGCCAGCAGGCGGTCCGCTTTCTATCACAAACACCGCCGGCACCGGGACGGAGTTAAAGGAAGAAAGAGAGTTCGGTATAGGTCGGGCCAGCAGACAAGTGACAAAGTCGCTCAAAACAACCTGACCCCCAATAAAAAAGCCAAAACCCTTAAACACCCACCCTGCCGCCCCTTCCGTTTAAAATAAGAGAGAGTCGGAGAAGCAAAACAGACCTCCAAACCCCTAAGCCTAAAACCGAGTAGTAGTAGCCCTAAACCCTAAACCCTAAATCATGGTGGTGGTGGCAGTAGTAGTAGTAGTAGTAGTAGTAGTAGTAGTAGTAGTAGTAGTAGTAGTAGTAGTAGTAGTAGTAGTAGTAGTAGTAGTAGTAGTAGTAGTAGTATTATAGTAGTAGTAGTAGTAGTAGTAGTAGTAGTAGTAGTAGTAGTAGTAGTAGTAGTAGTAGTAGTAGTAGTAGTAGTAGTAGTAGTAGTAGTAGTAGTAGTAGTAGGAGCAGCAGCAGCAGCACAGCCTCGTGGGCCATCTCCACCTTGTCGGGTAGGTCCGGGACGATGTTCGGGTCTGTCTTGCGGCCTCGTGGGGCTTGGGGTTGAAGGTCTGGGGTTTGGGCTTTAGGGTTTAGGGTTTAGGGTTTGGGGTTTGGGGTTTGGGGTTTGGGGTTTGGGGTTTGGGGTTTGGGGTTTGGGGTTTGGGGTTTGGGGTTTCGGGTTTCGGGTTTAGGGTTTAGGGTTTAGGGTTTAGGGTTTGGGGCTAGGGTTTAGGGTTTGGGGTGTAGGGTTTAGGGACGTTTAGGGCTTTTTGAACCTACGGGAGCCTAGCTTTTTCTGGCTGGAAAGTTGTGGCTCGAGGGCCACCCCAGAGCGCACACACAGGCCTTTTCAATCGGAATGGATGTCCTTGGCCGCTTGTGCTGCTGCAATACTACAAGGATTACAAGGGTGATAATACTGGTGGTTATTGAGACCCCTCAGCCACAGTAAAAAACAATAACCAAGAAAGAGGCCGTGCAGTGCCTCGAACCCCTTGAACTGCCCTCAACCCTGCACCCTCAACTCCAAGCCCTAGGTCCTAACCCTAAACCCTAAACCCCAAAGCCTAAACCCCAAACCCTAAACCCTAAACCCTAAACCCTAAAGCCTAAACCCTAAACCCTAAACCCTAAACCCTAAACCCTAAACCCTAAACCCTAAACCCTAAACCCGAACCCCTGGCTGGGTCCCCCTGACGCCGGAGCATGAAGGGGCCGGTGATCTGCCGCAGCTTCTCCTCCACATCACCAGCTTTTTTGTTTGCGGGGGTGGATGTTCCCTATAAGCCTTGAAACCCTCAACCCTTAAACCCTAAGGCTTGGGTTTAGGGTTTAGGGTTTAGGGGTTAGGGGTTAGGGTTTAGGGTTTAGGGGTTAGGGGTTAGGGTTTAGGGTTTAGGGTTAAGGGTTTAAGGATTTTAGGGTTTTAGGCTTTTGGGCTTTTAGGCTTTTAGGCTTTTAGGGTTTTAGGGTTTTAGGGTTTTAGGGTTTTAGGGTTTTAGGGTTTTAGGGTTTTAGGGTTTTAGGGCTTTAGGGCTTTAGGCTTTTAGGCTTTTAGGCTTTTAGGCTTTTAGGCTTTTAGGTTTTTAGGGTTTTAGGGTTTTAGGGTTTTAGGGTTTTAGGGTTTTAGGGTATTAGGGTTCTAGGGAATTACGGTTTTAGGGTTAGGGCTGTTTAGGGTTTAGGGCTGTTTAGGGTTTAGGGCTGTTTAGGGTTTAGGGTTGTTTAGGGTTTGGGGTAACCTCTGGTAACTTTGAGCGTTTATCAGGGTTTAGGGCTGTTATGAAGTTTCGGGGGCTTTGGAGAGTTTGGGGGCTTTAAGGAGCTTAGGGGCTTGAGGGAGAATTGTGGGTTTAGGGAACTGAGGGAGAGTTGGGAATTTCGGGCTCAGGGGACTCCAGGGAAACTTGGAGGTTCAGGGAGTTTAGGGGCTTCAGAAACTTAGGGAGGTTTGGGGGGTTTAGGGAGTTTAGGGGCTTTAGGGAGACTTGGGGGCTTTAGGAGTTTAAGGAGTTTAGGGGCCTTAGGGAGCTTCGGGGAGCTTGAGGGTTTTTGGGAGTTTCGGGGCTCGGGGAGTTGAAGGGGTATAGAGGCTGGGACCTGAACCCTAAACCCTAAACCCTAAACCCTAAACCCTAAACCCTAAACCCTAAACCCTATCACGCTTGGAGGGTGGGAGGGCACCTTCGTCGCCGCCGCCTGCGGGTCAGGGACCGAGCGGCGCTTGCTCGCCGCCTGGAGGGGCCTCGTGCGAAGGGCTTTGGGCATGTCAGGGCCTTCAGGGTTTAGGGTTCAGGGTTTCGGGTTTAGGGTTTAGGGCTTAGGGCTGAAGGGTTTAGGGTTTAGGGTTTAGGGTTTAGGGTTTAGGGTTTATGGTGTAGGGTTTAGGGTTAGGGTTTAGGGGTTGGGGCCTTCTAGGGCCTTTTAGGACGTTTAGGGCCTTTGTCAGGCCTGTAGGGCCTTTAGGGTTTAGGCCCTAAACCCTAAACCCTAAACCCTAAACCCTAAACCCTAAACCCTAAACCCTAAACCCTAAACCCTAAACCCTAAACCCTAACCCTAAACCCGAAACCCTAAACCCTCAAGGTAAATGTCTTAAAGCAACATGAAAGTTAGCATAACATCCTCAGGCTGCCAGCAGCGATGCACGACTGAACATGAAAAAACTGGGTCCCTCGGTCCCTCCTGCTAGCGTAGCAGCCGGTCGGCCAAGTTACATTCAGCATGAGCTCTGCTAGCTGCTCACGCAGCGAGGCGACCTCCCGCTTCAGCTGCACGTTGGTGTCTTTCATGGCCGCGTTCCTGTGGCCCGAACACATGCGCCCTTACGATGACCGGGCCGCTGTGAGCCTGCTGACTGCCGCTAGGTACGCAGCGGAATTGACTGACTGCCCATGGATGCTTGCTTCTTCCTTGCGGTTGGCCTTGGCAAGAGCTTCGGCTTCACGCCGCACATCTCGGAATGCCCTCAATGTGCCCATGTACTTCTGGCATTCTTCCTCCATCAACTCTGGAGTAAGGGTTGTAGAGTTTTGGGCTTAGGTGTTCACAGGTACGGGCTTTATAACTGTCATGATAGCAAGGGGGGGCTAAAATTTGGGTGAGGGTTAGACCGGGGGCCGTGGGGCCTAAGCCCCAGAGAGGCCTTGAACTGTACTATGAGTCACCCTAAACCCTAAACCCTAAACCCTAAACCCTAAACCCTAAACCCTAAACCCTAAACCCCCAGACGCAAAACCCCGTTTGGCACATCGCGGTGACCGATGGCTTTTGAAGCGAGCTCCAAGGGCTTGCAGGGGGTTAAAAGCCTAAACCTAGCAACCCTAAACAAACCCTGAAAACCCTTTAAAACCCCTTAAAAACCCTTAAAACTCTTTCAAACCAGTAAAACCCCTTAAAGACACTTCAAAACCCTTAAACCCTTCAAAACCCTTCAAAACCCTTTAAAAACCCTTCAAAAACCCTTCAAAACCCTGGGGGTTCAGGCTTGGAACTGAAGGGGTAGGGCATCGGCCCGGTTCGGCAGGCAGCGTCTACGGTTGAGGCCTCAGGGTACTTATTAACCAACTATAACTGTACTGAAAAGCCCCCCTAAAGTGCGCAAAATATGGTTATGTAAACGTACAGTTTTTGGTACAGCTAAATACTTGGCTAATAAATACCATGAACCTCCAAGTACGGTTCAGGCCTCAGGGTACTCCCGAAATCCTCCAAAGCCCTGAAATGCCGCGAAGTCCCTACTCCCCTACCCCCTGAACCTTAAACCCCTAAACTCTCAACTTCTGAACCCTGACCCCTAAACCCTAAACCCTTGGCCACACCCGCCTCTCGTAGCTTCGGTGGAAGTCGGCCCTGCTCGCCGCCAGATATCCTACGCCAAGTGGCAAGTAGAGAACTGGGTTTAGGGTTTAGGATTTAGGGTATAGGGTGTAGGGTCTAGGGTTTAGGTGTGTGTGACCACCCTCACACACCCTGAATGCCCAAAAACCAAAACACGCAGAAAACATAACCCGAAGAACCAGAAAAGCCTAAACCCCTGAACCCGAGCCTGTAAAACCCTTGAAGTTCAAGCCCCCATAACCCCTACCCTATAAGCCCAGAAGCCCCATAAACCCCCTAACCCCCAATAACCCCAAAAACAACAGCTGAGACTTCAAAAGCCGAAGCTCCTAAGAAAAGGGTGTTTGGGGCTTAGGGTTCAGGGGTTTAGAGGCTTGGGGTTTGCGGTAAGGTTTAGGGTTTAGGGCCGTGGTTTAGGGTTTACGGTCAAACCAGGACCAGAATGTTAAGCCCCGTCCCAAGGGTTGTCCTCAAGAAAAACTTGGGCCCGGGGGGCATTGGGGCAGGGTTGAGGGTTGAGGGTTTAGGGTGGTTTGGGGTGTGCAGGGCTTATCGTTGAGGGATATAGGGTTTAGGGTTTGGGGTTTCGGGTTTAGGGTTTAGGGTTTGGGGTTTAGGGTTTAGGGTTTAGGGTTTGGGGTTTAGGGTTTAGGGTTTAGGGTTTGGGGTTTCGGGGTCGGCTGAAAGCGGAATCCTGAACAAAGCCGGACGCCCAGACTCACCAACCCCGAAACCCTAAACCCTAAACCCTAAACCCTAAACCCCAAACCCTAAACCCTAAACCCCAAACCCTAACCAACTCCAATTAAAACTGCACTTAAGAAGCCCCCTGAGTTCCTCAAGTCCTCTAAGTACCCATGAAACCTAAACCCTAAACCCTAAACCCTAAACCCTAAACCCTAAACCCTAAACCCTAAACCCTAAACCCTAGACCCCAACCCTAAACCCTAAACCCTAAACCCTACACCCCCCCTAGCCCTAAACCCTAAACCCCCAAGGTCCTGGGAGGATGAACTCGAACTGCGAATGCAAGTCGGCCATCTTGTTCCTTAGTCAGGGTTTAGGGTTTAGGGTTTAGGGTTTAGGGTTTAGGGCTTAGGGTTTAGGGTTTAGGGTTTAGGGCTAGGGGCTTAGGAGTTAGTTTTGGGTTTAGGGTTTAGGAGTCTAGGGGTTCAGGAGTTTGGGAGTTAGGGGTTTAGGGCTTGTTGTTCCTTAGTGTTCGGAAGGGTTCAGGGGAGTTTGGGAGGTGAGGGGTTTGGGGTTTGGGGGTTTCGGGGTTTAGGAGTTTCTGGGTTTGGGGGTTTAGGGGTTTAGGAGGTTCGGGGTTTGAGGTTTAAGGTTAGGGGCTACGGCTGTGGATCCAGAATAGCGTTTTGGGCTGGCATGCGGCATGGTCGGGGGGGTGTCCCTAAACCCCAAACCCGATACCCTGAACCCCAAACCCTAAACCCTAAACCCTAAACCCTAAACCCTAAACCCTGAACCCCAAACCCCAAACCCTAAACCCTAAACCCCTTTAGGCTTCTGGGGGTAGGGTGTCCAGTGCAGAGGGCCAACCCCGGTCGCTCATACACCAGGTCGATCAGTCCAGAACCAGCGGGGAGCCCCAAGCACCGAACCTAACACAAAACCTGAAACCCCAAACCCCAAACCCTAAACCCTAAACCCCAAGCCCTAAACCCTAAACCCCAAGCCCTAAACCCTAAACCCTAGACCCACAAACCCTAAATCCGCCCCGATTAACTCCAGGGCTCTCCACCGGAGTCCCGGACAAAGAGACCTGGAAGAAGGGCCAGGGTTGGGGGGGCCGGAGGCAGGAGGGGGCAGGAGGGGCAGGAGGGGCAGGAGGGGCAGGAGGGGCAGGAGGGGCAGGAGGGGCAGGAGGGGCAGGAGGGGCCAGGGTTTAGGGATTTAGGCGATTTAGGGTTGAGGGTTTCAACCATGCTGCCTGCTGGAGGCCTCCCTGGTCAGGAGCTGCAGAGTTTGAGGCTTCGGGGCTTAGGGTTATGTGTTTGGGGGTTTCTTGCGGGGGGGCGGGGTTGGGGGATTAGTTGAGGATTGTCGTCGGGTGGGGGGCACTTGTGTCTTGGGGGGAAGCTTTGCAGCCCGTCGCCAAATTTCTTGGAGGTTCGTGGGTACTTAGAACCCCAATTATAGGTCGACTTGCCACACTACTTAGAGGACTTAGGGGACTTAGGGGGCTTATAGTACCGTTATCATTGGGCTCAGAAATACCCTGAACCTCCAAGTAGCCCTAAACCCTAAACCCTAAAGCCTGAAGCCCCAAGAAGGCCTTGCAGCTCCACCACGAAAAAAAACTTGTAAAGCCTCACTCTCGGCTTCGCAAACTCTCTAAACTCGGACCCTGAAGGTCAAACCCGTAGCCCTCCCTACGTACACCAAACCGCTCTTGGGGTTTGGGTTCAGAGTTCAGAGTTCAGGGTTCAGGGTTTAGGGTTCGGGGCACCCTGAACCTCCAAGTAGCCCTAACCCTAAACCCTCAACCCGAAACCCTGAACCCCCAAGAAGGCCTAGAGGTTTAGGGACTCCTTCCGTCCCAGGTGCACGGACGGGTCCGACGAGCTCCGCCACGCGCTTGACTTCCTGCGGGACGCTGAGGTCTGTGGTTGGCTTTGTGCCCCAAGGAGCTATTCAGGGTTTGGGTGATTCCCCCCCCCCGAAAGGCCTGAAGGGGAACAGCCGGACGCAGGGAATCACGGTTTTTAGCTTTTTAATATTCAAGCCCAAAAAATTCGCTGTAGTCGGAGCAGCCCTCATGATTCTTAAGGCACTTTGCTGTAAACCCTCAACCCTAAATCCGAATCTTTGGCGACCGAAATGAAGCCGAAAACTAGCAGCGGAAGGCAAGCAACTTCCGAAGGCGAAGAAAGACCTCAAGCCGTAAACCTAAACCCTAATGTAACCCTAAACCCTAAACCCTACTATCCGAATTCCCCAACTACGAAACCCTAAACCCACAAAGCCTAAAAAACTCGACATGGTGATTTTCCCCCTTTCGGGAGGGCTGAGCGGGAAAGGCCGGATGCGGGGGGAACCAATGTTGGAGCTTTTCAGGCCCGAAGGCACCACAGCAGACTTTGCTTTTCCGGAATTTCTACGCAAGACCTTGCTTGGAGGTTCATTCGGGGACTTCTAAGTGCTGTTATAAGTACCCTAGATGGTGATAACCATAGTTACCCTTACTTAAAACCCTACTTGTAAGTAGCCATAAGAACCTCCAAGTAGCCCGAAACCCTAAACCCTAAACCTTAAACCCTAATCCCGTCTGACCCCGGTTGAGGGCTTCGGGTTGTTTAGGGTTTAGGGGTAGGGACTGCGGTGTAAATTGTGGGCTAAGCAAGGCTCCTGCGAAATCTGGGTCGTGTAGTTCTTGATTTGCTGCGCTTCATCCTGAGATGTGCCAGCAGCCGCAAGGGTCTAGGGTTGGGGGTTTAGGGGTTAGGGTTTAGGGTTTAGGGTTTGGGGTTTAGGGTTTAGGGTTTAGGGTTTAGGGTTTAGGGTTTAGGGTTTAGGGTTTAGGTTTAGCGTAAGCCGCACTTAGAGGCTCAGGGGTACTAAGCAGCAGGGTTATACGTAGGGCAACTCTGGCTACGACCTTTGCTAGGGCACTTAGAAGCCTACTTACTAGTACCCGAAGGAAACGTAAACCCTAAACCCTAAACCCTAAACCCTAAACCCTAAACCCTAAACCCTAAACCCTACAGGTAGAGTCTGGGTGACGGTGCCCGCGTATACTGCCGAAAAGGGCCCGCCGACTCGGGGCTGTGGCTTTCGAGGGTAGGGTTTAGGGTTTAGGGTTTAGGGTTTAGGGTTTAGGGTTTAGGGTTTAGGGTTTAGGGTTTAGGGTTTAGGGTTTAGGGTTTAGGGTTTAGTGTTGAGGGTTTAGGGTTTAGGGTTTAGGGTTTAGGGTTTAGGGTTTAGGGTTTAGGGTTTAGGGTTTAGGGTTTAGGGTTTAGGGTTTAGGGTTTAGGGTTTAGGGTTTAGGGTTTAGGGTTTAGGGTTTAGGGTTTAGGGTTGCGGGTTGAGGGTTGAGGGTTGAGGGTTGAGGGTTGAGGGTTGAGGGTTGAGGGTTGAGGGTTTATAAGGTTTCGGGTCGAGGGTTTAGGGCTTAGGTTGGTTTGGGGTTTGGGTTTGAGGGTTGAGG